TTTATACAATCACACAATCACACAATGTGTGTCACTACCAACATGCCGAACACATCCTAAATGAAGGGTAGAGGATGAGCAGCAGCCCTCCAAAAATGGCACATGCTTAAAGCCGATGATACTTCGCTGTTATTTCGCCACCCCTCCCGGCTCAGAGTTAAGCAGTTCAATAGCTGATGGAACAAAGGAGTTGGCAAAGCGGTTTGTTTTTCGAGAAGGTACATAATAACGACGTCCTGAGGGCATAAGAGAGAACTCAGAGTGCAGAGCATGGAGGGGCTGACCAAGGATACATTTAGCCTTTTTTCGCGCCCTCTCCTCCCAAAGAGACTGTAAGTCTCTTTGTTTGGCGCCAATAATTTTGGAGCAGATTTTTACAATGCTCTGCAGCTTCTTTTTGTCCTTCATGGACAAGGCTTTGTACCAACAAACAAATGAAAATGTTAAAATGCTTTCTATAAAACAGCTATAAAAGTTGCAGAGAATCCTTTTATTCACGTTAAAATAGTTCAATTTCCTTAAAAGATAGATTCTCTGCTGAGCTCGTTTAAAAATGGAGTCCGTGTATGTGACAAACCGCAGCTTGTTGTCAGTCCAAGAACCAAGGTATCTGTACTCTTCAACCACCTCCACCACTTCACCGTGGATGATGCTACTACCAAGGTGGGGTAGTGCGGAGCGTCTAAAATCAATAATCATGTCCTTGGTTTTTTTGACGTTCAGGTCCAGGTAGTTACTGTCACACCATTCTACAAAATCTGACAGCGCGGGACCATGGTTTATTTCAGATCCCGAAAGTAAGGACATCAAAACAGTGTCGTCCGAAAACTTAACCAAGAACCTGTTGTTCTGAGTGACCCTGCAGCTGTCTGTGTACAGGATAAACAACAGGGGGGACAGAACGCATCCCTGAGGAGATCCGGTGCTGGACATTAATGGGAGAGAAATCTGGCCATTAACCAACACCCGCTGGGTCCTCCCCGTAAGAAAGTTCAAAATCAGTAAGAGAAGCTGATCGGGCAAATCAAAAACATTGGCAAGTCTTTCAATCAGGATGTGGGGCTGCATCTTGTTAAAGGCTGAAGAAAAGTCTGCAAACAAGAGCCTTACACAAGTCCCCGTTTTATCAAGGTGCTTGTAGACCGTGTTCAATACACAAAGCACTGCATTTTCTACCCCCTTATTTTGCTGGTAGGCAAATTGAAGTGGGTCAAGTCTCCCGTCTGTCAGAGATAAAATTTCGGATTTTAGAATTTTTTCAAAAGTTTTCATCACAAGTGATGTGAGTGCTACTGGTCTAAAGTCAGACAGTTCCTTTGAAGTACTTGATTTAGGGATTGGGATTATAGTCGAAGTTTTCCACAAAGATGGAATCTGACCCACATCCACACATGTTTGAAACAATCTGCTAAAAACACTACTCAACTGGTTGGCACAGTGATGCAGGGTACGCCCACAGATGGCGTCGGGGCCCCTTGCTTTCCCCACCTTTACCTTTTTAAGTAAGATGGTGACCTGGTCTAGTGAAATTACAAATCCCTCACTAGGTTTGAGGGCTTCCTTGCAGACCCCAACCTTTCCAATAAGGTCCCCCCTCTCAAACCGACTAAAAAATGAATCGGTGGATTCAATTAGTGGATGCAACTCACTAATCACTTCATTTATTTTTCATTACTTAGACTAATTGAATTTGGTCTGATGACCAATAGGAGTGCTTTATGTAATGAGCAGAAAATAAATGATTACAATTTTGAAGAATTAATTTTCTCTTAATACATTTTGGTAAAACAACAGTTCAGTAGAATGACGGCCTTTATTTGTGTAGGTGGTTAATATTTAGACCTTCACGGTTCAAATGTTTCGACAAAAATAAAAAGCATCAAACGTTCTTTTTATTTATTCATTTATATAACATTTTATCCGCTTTTGGCTTTTCATTAACCATGTAAAGTGTCAAAGTCTAAAAATGGGACCTATAATGCCTCCCCACGTGACATCAGTTTTAAGGGGTTGGACTGAGGGGTTAAACCATCAAATAGTTGCCGAGCACAGCCGCTGCTGCAGCTGACCGCTCCCCATGGGGTTGGTCAAATGTGGAGAGGAATTTCATCAGTGTGTAATGATGACTAATGGGACTCCAGATAAAAGTACCCTGTCTGATGTTCAAATGGAGTCCATTCCAGAGTCTCGGGAAGTACTGCAAATGCTCGCACTGGCATTTAAAATGTTCATGATGATCGTTTTCATATTGGCCGTTTAATTTATTTATTTATTTATTTATTTATTTATTAAGAAGAAAGGTAAAAGAGAGAACAATCCACTCCAGCAGATGAAAAGCTCTTAATTCCCATTGATCGAGCCGGAGCAGAACTTCACAGCAAGCCCATACGAGAGCCGTTAAAGTGGTTTAATCTATTTTAAAGTGATACCAGTAACAAAAAGTAACATTTACCCTCAAATGTTTAGATGCAGCAGGTGAGACAAAGCACCACTACAAATACTGTACCTGCAGCTAATGCCACCCAAAGGGTTTCTGCCCCCACTAGAGGGGGCTGAAGAGCTCCCACCAGTATAAAATCAAAGAAATGTAATTTGCCCCAGGGTGTGAATCCCTGTTATGCTGCAGAAGCAGGAGAGGAGCTGCTCTCAAAGATGAACTTTCAACAACATTTACCTCAGAGTAAAATAAACACATTTTATTTTTGTTTGTTTTATTAGGCAATTAATAAAGACTGTTGTAGTAAAAATAACTAGATCTCCACCCTGAATTCTGAAAAGCGTCAAGTTCCAAAACAAGTTTTTCCTCCATGTGTCAACTGTTTAAAAACAGTAAGTAAAACCTTTGTCACATAAATCAACTCATGTTCTGCACAGAGAACTTCAAAACAAAACATAATACAGGTAATGGACACGATCTATGTTCCTTGTTTTCTGTTATATCACATTTTTCAATCAGCCATGAAATTGTTGTTTTTATTTGTGTAATCATCTCAATCTGTGAACGTTTTTTAATCTTTAATCGTTTTCTTTAACATAAATAAGATCTTATTTTTGGTTAAAACTGCAAACAAAACAGTTTATTCTACAAAATTGTGTTGCAAACTATTATAAAATATCTAACTAACAAAAATAAATAAATAAATAAATAAAAATCAATCCTGAACTGAAGAGAGGATGTGAGAAAAGGACCAGTGAAACTCATCTGCATCAACTGCAGCATTCCTTTTAACAACCACATGGTGGCGATGCACAAACTCCCAGCTTTCAAGCTCTTCCAGATCTCTCAGTAGGTCAGAGGTGGAATGTCCACCTGTTGATCCTGAAATGCCAGAATGCTGTAAAACTGTTTCTCTGTTGCATTTCACATCACTTTAGGAAGTATTTTTAAAATGCTGTTTAACCCGACGACAAAAAAAAAAGGGTTGGGGCGTTTCACTCATTTATTTTAAATTAATTAGGCTTTTATTAGGAATTACCTCAAAGGAAAAATAATGTTTCAGGTTGAGGACTTGTATTTTTTTTTCATGTCCACTCCTTTGTTGTATGAAGTTATTATATTTTAGTCATTTTTGTGTTCATTTTTTACATTTTGAGCTCTTTTACTTTGAAATGTACCCAGATGAGGCAGAAATGATAGCCATGTGTGACCTGTGAGCCGGAACGGTCTACAGAAAGGCAAAACACAGGCAGAACAGGAACCAGAATCCTTGGGCATATAAACAGATTTATTTTTATCTGACTCATAAAATATAATCTGAAGTAAAGTTCTTCAAGACCCACAGGTGGAGACAACAGATTTATGAGATTTAATTATGCAAATATTGATTCTTAACAGTGAGAAATGAAACAAACACGGGTGTAAAAACCACCTTTTCCAGCGGACTCCGAATCTCCAGGAGCTCCTCTGACCTCAGCGGTCATGGAGTTCCAGGTTTAGTCACCATGTGATAACACCCTGTTGTTGTGTGAGTAACTACAGGTGTGAGTGAGTGAGGCCGGCCGTTGGAAGATTTCCGTGAGCTTTTAATCAAACATAAGTGGCGTCGTTTAAGATCCTCTCATTACTCTAACCCAAAGAGTCAAGCGTGTGAGCCGTGCACCGTGATAAGTTGAGGCAAGCAGGAGCTTATTGTGAAACTACACACACACACACACACACACACACGCACGCACACGCACGCAAATGCAGTCAAGTGTGTTCAGCTGACTTCTCCCCGCTGTTTCCTTGTGAGATGTCATTATACGATAAAGAGGAAGCCATCAGGAAACCGCTTAAGTGCCACTTCCTGTCTGTTGCTATGACAACTACCTCATTTTTTGCAGTTGCAGATTTTCACCGCAACTTTACTTGAGTTAATGTCTTTCATACGAGCAGAGTGGGAGGCAAAAACAAAGAGGCAGGTGTGTTTTGGTCCATACGGGAGGATTCGGGTGGGTCGATTCTCATCCAGACGCTCCTCACAGTCCACCTGGGCGAGGGCGGACCATTTAACCCCAACATCTGACAGCTATTATCATTTGGGACGGTTCAGTGGACACGCTTTTTTGTGAATGCAGCTGGATCCGTTCAAAGTTTGTAGATAAACAGATCTGGGTTGAAGGGACACTTCCTGATTTTAGGGGAATTGTTGCTTTAGAGTGGCAGACACGTTGGCCTCAAGAGAGCCCCCTCTAAATTGGTTGTGTGAGATCATAATCCCCATATGTTTCGTTAACATAAGGTCGACCGCTAAAAGAACGATTAAAGCAGTGAAACTCGCCCCTTCGACTGGGGATTTCTTTTTCCTGAAAATCAGCTAACAGGCTGGGCTGAATCACAAAATCACATTTGTCAGACTCTAAACTCTCAAATAAACACTTTTTTAGGATAAGTGAGAGACACCCGTGGCCACTCTGCGTTTTGGTCCTGCCCCGGACCAGAGAGACACCGGCACTGACAGGAGCCACATTCCAGCTAAGGTGTGCACACAAAGAGGGGTTAAGCCGCTCCCCTTTCAACGGGCTCCATCGCAGGATTATTGACAAATTCTTTCTGAGGTTTTCACTTGTCAGAACTAGCAGAGGCACCGCGTCAGAAGAGCGTTGGAGAGGAAGGAGGCGCCGATTCAGGGAGAGTGGAGGGAGATATACAGGTTTTGGAGAATTTAAATATCAGAAAGGGAAACGAGAGATAGAGCAGCAAGAAAAAGAGAGGGCGAATACACACACACACACGCTGAGGGGTGTGTCATAGCAATTTAGTTCCTTAAGGAAGTAAAGCTCAGCATTATCTTAAGACAGAGCGGTGAGCACTGACAGAGACGCTGCCGGGACAGCTTCTCTTTCATACATTTCCACTGTTTTCCAGGTGAAGATGGAGGTGTTGTGTTAAAAAGCAGCCTGCGTTGTCGGCGTGACACCCAGAGCAGCAGGAGAGACACATCTGACACAAGGAGGGAGGGGGACTCAGCAAACACTCAGGTAAGAAACATCTGCTGCACTCATTTGAAAAAGTTAAATAAAAGTTCTTTTCCTGCTTCTGTTGTGCATATCAAACGGGTTGTCGCTGCTGCTGAGCAGGAACAGACTGAGAGTGGGATGACTGGAAACTGAGCGACTCCTCTCTACTTCCCCATCTTGAGCGCAAGTCGAGAGACGCGCAGGCTCGCTGTCGTGCCGCAACAAGTACAGTGACAGGCACAGATGTGGAGCTGCTAGCTGTGTTTGCACAGGCAGGGAGTTGCTGGAGTGGAGTCTCCCTCCGTCACTGGCCTGCTTTGATTTGTAGCCGGTCAGGACGCAGGGACGGGCAGTAAGACGCTGCAATGTCACTGCAAACAGAAACAGACAAGTACACTGCTAACTGCTCTGTTTCGCTTCCCGTTTGAGGCAGATGTGTAACGGCGAAAGAGTCGAACGGTTGTGCAACGCTGACAGAGGTCTGCAATGAAAGATTTCAAAATCTTTACTGGATGTTTCCCTGTGAAGTCAGTTTGTGTAATAGGGATAAATACTGAGCTTAACCCAAACTCATGTAACTGCTGCAGATGTGTGCAAAGAAAATGAGCTCTGAAACTTGTTGAGATCTGAGACCGCGAAAGTGACGCTTCATCCTGGTGAGAGAAAAATTGCAGAGAAAGACAGAAAATATACATCATCTCTATCGTTTCTGTTTCGTCTGGAGGACAATAGGTATGAGCTTATTTATGGCAGCGTTCTGGACCAGCGGTTCAAAGATGGCCAGCTGGTTTTATCTGATTGAACGGTCTGATCTGAGAGTTTTCCTGGAACATGTACATGGTTGATCAAAGGCCGTGAACGGCTAAAAGGCCCAGCACATACTAGCGATGTCTTCAGAGAAACTCCACCCGTAGGATCACTAGAACACAAGCACTCCACGACAACGTTAACTTCTACACGTTGTAAATTATTTGTTGCTTTCATACAAAACCAGCCAGGAATAAATGTGACTTCCTTGTGAATACGAGTTCATACAAGCACACAGACTATGGAGTCATGTGAGGAATGCTAAATATTTACCTCCGCTGCCGGCCAAGATGGCTCCAGCATTCAGGACTCCTCTCATCTCAACGAAAAGCTGGATGTTACACTAGGAGACAAGGAAAGTGCGCGCGCACACACACACACACACTCATTTGGGAGGAAAACCAACTCTTGAACACCCTAAAGGTCTGTTCCATCCTGTCGTACCAACAAACTGCTGCTCAGTGCCGAGCCACTACCTGATGTCCATCACAGAAAAGTGGTTTCATGGCAGTTCGGTGCTGCAACGCTGAAATGGTCCATGTCTCAGCCCTGACCCCTCGGGCGGCGGGCGGCATCCTGCTGTGGGAGTCTCACTGTGGAAAACCGGCTGATGACTCCACACGGTGCACGTCCCTCAACTCCCCGTTGCCTTCTCAGCAAATAAACCAGATTGAGGCCTGGATTTGAACTAGTGATCACACTGCTCCACTTCTATCACCTCTGTTAAGGGAAATTAATCTAATGACTGTTCTTTAATTTGCTGCAGGGAACCCAAAGCTTCAGTAATGCAGCCAGCTATTAAAACATGACAAAAATAAGCGACGCTTCATGCTAAATCTTACCCTAGCGTGGTTGTATTTTTAGAGCAGCATCAAGTGTGAAGTAGCTGTAGGATTTTATTTTTAATTAGATACAGTGGGGCAAAAAAGTATTTAGTCAGCCACCGATTGTGCAAGTTCTCCCACTTAAAATGATGACAGAGGTCAGTAATTTACATCATAGGTACACTTCAACTGTGAGAGACAGAATGTGAAAAAAAATCCATGAATTCACATGGCAGGATTTTTAAAGAATTTATTTGTAAATCAGGGTGGAAAATAAGTATTTGGTCACTTCAAACAAGGAAAATCTCTGGCTCTCACAGACCTGTAACGTCTTCTTTAAGAAGCTTTTCTGTCCTCCACTTGTTACCTGTATTAATGGCACCTGTTTGAACTCATTATCTGTATAAAAGACACCTGTCCACAGCCTCAAACAGTCAGACTCCAAACTCCACTATGGCCAAGACCAAAGAGCTTTCGAAGGACACCAGGAAAATAATTGTAGACCTGCATCAGACTGGGCAGAGTGAATCTACAATAGGCAAGCAGCTTGGTGTGAAAAGATCAACTGTGGGAGCAATTATCAGAAAATGAAAGACATACAAGACCACTGATAATCTCCCTCGATCTGGGGCTCCACGCAAGATCTCATCCCGTAGGGTCAAAATGATCATGAGAACGGTGAGCAAGAATCCCAGAACCACACAGGGGGACCTGGTGAATGACCTGCAGAGAGCTGGGACCACAGTAACAAAGGTCACCATCAGTAACACACTACAACGGCAGGGAATCAAATCCTGCAGTGCCAGACGTGTTCCGCTGCTGAAGCCAGTGCATGTCCAGGCCCGTCTGAAGTTCGCCAGAGAGCACATGGATGATACAGCAGAGGATTGGGAGAATCTCATGTGGTCATATGAAACCAAAATAGAACTTTTTGGTATAAACTCAACTCGTCGTGTTTGGAGGAAGAAGAATACCGAGTTGCATCCCAAGAACACCATACCTACTGTGAAGCATGGGGGTGGGAACAGCATGCTTTGGGGCTGTTTTTCTGCTAAGGAGACAGGACGACTGATCCGTGTTAAGGAAAGACTGAATGGGGCCATGTATCGTGAGATTCTGAGCCAAAACCTCCTTCCATCAGTGAGAGCTTTGAAGATGAAACGTGGCTGGGTCTTCCAACACGACAATGATCCCAAACACACCGCCCGGGCAACAAAGGAGTGGCTCCGTAAGAAGCATTTGAAAGTCCTGGAGTGGTCTAGCCAGTCGCCAGACCTCAACCCCATAGAAAATCTGTGGAGGGAGTTGAAAGTCTGTGTTGTTCGGCGACAGCCCCAAAACATCACTGCTCTCGAGAAGATCTGCATGGAGGAATGGGCCAAAATACCAGCTGCTGTGTGTGCAAACCTGGTAAAGACCTATAGTAATCGTTTGACCTCTGTTATTGCCAACAAAGGTTATGTTACAAAGTATTGAGTTGAATTTTTGTTATTGACCAAATACTTATTGTCCACACTGATTTACAAATAAATTCTTTAAAAATCCTGCCATGTGAATTCATGGATTTTTTTTCACATTCTGTCTCTCACAGTTGAAGTGTACCTATGATGAAAATTACTGACCTCTGTCATCATTTTAAGTGGGAGAACTTGCACAATCGGTGGCTGACTAAATACTTTTTTGCCCCACTGTATTTAAAAAAAAACAGATGATTGTTTTTTATAACTAAATGGTGGGTTTGTTTGCCTGAGTGCAGCTGGACAGCAACACCATCTAAAATGCACCAACAGGGACAAGACTACACCATTAGGCTGAGAGTTGAAGCTGCTGCTAAACGCAGGATGTTTCAATAACAGAGTAGCTAATGTTTGACTCAAAGGCACATCCACCCACAGTAATAAAGGTAGCCCTCTTCGTACAGTGTGCACACGTTCTGTTGTTGCACCAGCACTGATGCAATATGCACAGCACGCATGTACCTGTCTCAACTATGCAGTCTACGAGCTGCACTCAAAAACCTGTCCACACAGGCAGGAACAGGGAATTTGGAGATGAAATGGGCCAAAGAGATGGTAGGAGACACTTGTCTGTGTAGAAAACACATGTAAGATTAAAAAAAAACAATAAAATGAGACAGGAAGGAGAGCAGCGGCACGGATGTTTGCTAAAGATAGTTTATCTTTGTGTTGGATCTGCAGCACTCATCACTTTGGCTTAAGCTGCTGCAGCTATGGAGCAGAACACGCAGCTAAACTTTATCTTTTAGCATAAATGTCACTAAACAACATTGCTACGTTTTAAAATCCACAAAACTTTAATGTATTTCTCTGCTCAGCTTCAGATTTAGTTGTTTCTGTGTGAAATCATGGTTAAAGAAGTGCTTTAAAAATCAAACCTTTGTGTTGGAAAAGATGAAAAGCTGATTCTCAAGTGTTGTGTGGATGTTGATGACCTCCCATTGGGGTGGGTGTGTGTGTGTGTGTGTGTGTGTGTGTGTGTGTGTGTGTGTGTGTGTGTGTGTGTGTGTGTGTGTGTGTGTGTGTGTGTCCTCTGAGAACGATGCTAGGTGAGGTTAAAATCTCAGTGGAGAAATTCAAAGCCTGTGTTGTGCAGCTTAAGTCCCTTTCCCAGTGCCAGAGATGAAAACAAACACTAAGGAGCATCATGAAAGAGGAAACATCGTATCTTTAAATTGTGTCCATTTTTATTTATGAATCAGCAGTTCAGCATGAATCATTAACCCTAGAGACGGTGTTATGAATTGTGAGTAAGATGTACCGGGATGAACGAGGATGAGATGAATGTTTGAGTCAAAGTCACGCCTGGAATTTCGGAATAATAAGTGAGCTTTTTTCTTCTTTTCAGCCTCAGCAAACACAATAAAGTTCTGATTTCATTTTTCTAATTGCTTCCCCTGCGTTCGAAACTTT